TTTTTAACATTTATTTAGTGTGTGTGTGTGTGTGTGTGTGTGTGTGTGTGTGGCCAGCTCAGCCCACCAGGGGGCGCGGCTGGCTGGCATGTGGTGCTGGGGGATCGAACGGCGGTCCCTGTGCTTTGTCAAGCTTGTTTCAAGTAGGTGCTTTAGACCACTGAGCCATCTCTCCAGCCCCAACAGGCAGTTTTAAGAAAACAAATTAACCAGAAAGTTCACACTTCTAGAAAATGTGTTTCTAAGCATTCATGAATATAGGAAACCTTGACTATTTAGCTTTTTAGTCAGTTGTCCTGGAATTCTTATATTTTTATAGCAAACCCAATACCTAATAAAGGAAATTAAATTTTTTTTCCTGACATTTTATTCATAGTAAAATTCTAACTTTTTCTTTGGTCTTTTTTGCGTCATTCTCAGGTTGGCCTGGAGCTCACTTTGTAGCCAAGGTTGGCCTCAAACTCACAGTGATCCTCCTGCCTCAGCCTCCCCAGTGCTGGGATTACAGGTGTGCACCACCACGCCTGTCCTGGGGTTATAGTTTTACATCCCTGCACTGGGCTTGACCCTGGGAAGTGGGAGATGTGATCCCAGGACTTAGAGCCAAAAGAGTGTGTGAATAGCACTGTTTTGTTTTTTTTTTTTTTATGAATAACACTGTTAATCCTGCTGATGCCCTTGGTGTCGGTCACTGCACAGGTACCCTACGCTGGGCAGGGTGTTCCAACCCCAGAGCCTCCCAGGAAAGTGAGGGGAGGAGTCCAAAGTGCATGGACACCCCATGGCCAGGGAGAGCACAGTCCAGGGAAGCCTGGAGGAGGGAACCCTGAACTCGGCCTTAAGAAACCCTTTTTCCCCTGGCAGGCTCAGGGCCGGGTCCCAGAGTGAGTGGTGATGGCACAGTAATGACGATGACAGCTGCCATCAGTAAGCCCGGGCTGAGTGCCAGTCACGCCTCCATCCTCCAGGGATTCCCAGGAAGCAAGACTTGCTCTCAAGGCCGTTGCAGAGTTGTAGAGAGGAAGATGAAGATGTCAACACCTGAGCTAGGGTCATGTAGCCTGAAGGCTGCTGAGGCTGTGCCAGCCAGGGCTACCCAGCCCATCCCATCCTCTGCCCCTTCCTTTCACTAGAGATCTGAGCAAACTCTGGGGCTGGCTCCTGGAGCTGGGGTGCTGGCCAAAAGGGGTTATAGCCAATGCAGACGAGGGAGTCAGGGTACTGTCCAGGTGGGGACCCATGGCAGAGATGAGTTACAGAGGCTAGAGACCACCCGCTCAAGCAAACCTGCAGGCCCCAGACAGTGGACGGGGTTAAGGGGCCTGCACTTGGTGTGGTCACTAGGAGTGGAGTTGGCCTGGCTCCAGTTCCTTGGGCCCTGTGTCCCCAGCCTGTGGTGGGCTTAGGGGAGCAAGGAGCCAAAGAGAGCCGCAGGACCCCTTTCCTGTCTTCTGTGGAGTCTTATCTTTGCTGGTTTGAACCCAGATTTGAGCCTTCTGGTGAGTCTCTGCTGCCTGCCAGGAAATAAATCCTGTCGTGTGTTCCCACTCGGAGTCTGGGCTCTCCACAGCTGGTTTTTCTGCAGAAGGCTTGAACCTGGGGCTCTTGCTTGGTCTGAGGGGCTGTGGTTGGCCTAGGCCCTGCTCTTGGGGGTGTGAGTACTAGCGTTCCTCATCAATCTCTCTGTTTCTGTCTCTGTATTTGGTACAGGGTCTCACTATGCAGCTCGGACTCACTCATAGTGATGCGCCTGTTTTCAGGTTTCCCAGAGCTGGGATTACAGGTGTGTGCCACCAGGCCTCGCCTCAGTGTGCCCTGGGGTGGGCAGGGCTGGCGCAGCATATGGTGGCTGTGATCAAATCCAGGTCCCTGTGCTTGTCTAAGCAGGCACTTAGTCTGCTGAGCTATCTGAGTGGCCCTTTGTCATCATTCTCTGTTACTTTTTTTTTTTTTTTTTTTTTTTTTGCGGAACCGGGGATTGAACTCAGATCCTTGCATTTGCCAGTCAAGTGCTTATCCTACTGAGCCATCTCCCCAGCCCCTCTCTGTTACTTTGGATGTCTGCTACAAGTATTCTGCAATACACCCACCCCCACGTTCTAATTTAGGTTTTCACAACTCACTCCCACTGGACCTTTACACACACAGGCAATAGCTTGTAAACATCCTTGCACACAGGTACACATGCCCGCAACACAAGCACCACCCTGGGCTCCTTGGCCTCTTTTAGGTAGCATCTGGGTTCTCTGTGTGGGAGACCAACGGAAGGAGTGCTTGCAACAGGGGCTGGATGACTGGGGGAGGGTCCAGAGCCTTTTTTTTGGGTCCTGTTCTGGGGTCCATGGAACCTTTGCGAGAATATTTTGTTTTTTTTTTTTTGATGGAACCAGGGATTGAACTCACATCCTTGCGTTTGCCAGTCAAGCACTTATCCTACTGAGCCATCTCCCCAGCTCCTACGAGAGTATTTTGGGCTGTGATCTGAGCTTCCCAAATCTCAGGAAGTTCCCCAGGAGCTTCAGAGCCTGGTCCCAGTCCACTGAGCCTTTCTGCCTGCAGCCAGGTAGAGTGCAGTACACAGGCCTTAGGTACTGTAGGCACTCTGTGGGCTTCTCTTCCTCTGCAATTAACAGTCCCTTCCTAGCCCAGCCTGGTGACTTTGGTTTTGAAGACTTTCTGGTGGCTGTAGGGACTGACCCCTGCTCCCAGCACTATGGTCAGGGCTGCAGGACTTGCTACTCTGAGCAGGGACTTGGCAGATGTTCTGGGGGGCTGGGGAGGCCAGACATGAACCTGTGGCCTGTCCCTGAGATACCTTCAAGATTCCAGTCCCCTGCGTCTGAAACCTGTTAGCTGAACCCCTCCCCTAGGCTGGTCTTTCCTGCTAGGTTATTTATTTATTTGTATGTAGGACAGGGTGTACAGGGTCTCACTGCACAGGTAGGACTCATAGTGATCTTCATATTTACTGCCTCCCAAGTACTGGGATTATAGGCGTGTGCCACCATGCCCAACCTCAATTGCTGTCTCAGTGCGCCCCAGGGGCGGGCCAGCAAAGCAGGCCCAGGGTTGGCACCTGCGTTTGCCTAAGCTTTCCTGCTAGGTTAAACCAGAGGCCTGCTGTGTGTCTGGTGAATGCAAACGCTTGATGGAGGTGCATGAAGCTTGTGCTTGGAATCAAAGGCTGGAGCTCAGGGCCAGACAGATTTTGGGCAAAAGAGTGGTGACAAGGGGGCCCCACACGTATGTCCACAAGTTCGCATCCTGTTGGTGTGCAGGGCGTATGTACATGTGTGCTTTCGAAAGACTGTGTGAGCATGTGCTCCTCTATATGAAAGCTCCTTAGCCTCGCCATGGGGGGAGGAATCTGTCCTTGGGCCCCGGGCACCAGCTGGGCAATCTGATGGGACGATACCGGGTGTGGCAAGAAGAGGAAGGATGGAACCACGCCCGCAATGGAGCTCTTCGTCTACATCGGGTGCCCGCTAACCCACCAGATCAAACACCTCTGAACCACGGTGCAGCCATCTGTCTCATAGATGAGAAACTTAAGAGACCAGACAGCCAACGTGAGGCTCCCTCTGCTGGCCTCTGAGCCCCCTTTTATCCCCGCATTTGTAAGGAGTAGGAGGAGCTCTGAGGCTTCGATGGAGGCTTCCTCCTCTATTTATAGAGCTGATGAAAGTACTGTACCAACCTCTTAAAATTAGCCAGACCTGCGTGCTAAGGACCTGGTAAGAATTCCACCAATGGGTCTTGCCCACTCCCCTTTGGTCGTTCTTAGGGGCTGCCTGGCGCCCCCAGGTCCCAGCTTCCATCCCAGCCCTGGGACTGTGGTGGGGTCTGCCGCTGCGCTTGTCTGATTGGTGGGAGGCAGGTGATGACAGGTAAGCAAAGTGGGTTTCCCTAGTGTGGAGCGGAGCGAGTGAGGAAGTGACTCACCCAGCACAACAAAGCCATCTCCGCAGAGGAAGCGGCTGCTAGAGGGTGGACGCACGTGGGTGCCCGCGGGGGCGCGCCAGCAGATGGCTGGGTGCCAACCAGAGCCGCACGGGGGGCCTCCTCCCCGAGACAGCCCCAGTGGTCTATCACCTTCGTCGTACCCGGTGGGGCGGAGGGTCCACTTCCCATCCAAAATTCCCTCAGTGCTGTCCCATTTTGCCTGTAGGGGCCGAGGAGCGCGTTTCCCTGTGAGTCCAGCGCTTTAGAGAAACCCACGATTGAGATCACATTCTGCCCCTGGGTGTTAGTCCTTGGGCACCGCGAGGAGGCGAAGCCCAGAGAGGGCGACGCTTAGTTCAGGTCGCATAGCATAGCGAGGCAGGTTCCAGAACCTGCTTGTCCTCTTGGTCCCGCCGAGGTTTGGCCTGGCTTTCAAAAGCGAGGAAACCCCCAGCACGATCTTCCGGGGAGCTAGGGCCTGCGAGGGGGTGTGGCGTCGACAGCCGCTTTGCTTCTTTCTCCAGCCAGAGTCGGCTTTGGGCATCTTCCAGAACTAACCGGGCTAATGACAAGGGAAGAGGAACTGGCTTCCCGGGCAGTCTCCCCCGCCCCAAAGTTTTCCTCGTGGTGGAGGGCGGCGGGCGGAGGGAGGAAGCGCGCGAGGGAGGTGGAGCCCGCCGCTCTGGCGCGCCTGGGACCGCAGCTCCGGGATGCCGAGCTGACCCGGCCTGGGTGAGTGTGTCTTTAAATCCGCGTTCCGCGCCATCTAGGCGGAGGGGCTGGGGCGCCAGCGGCCGGGCGGGCGGGCGCGGTGATTGGCGGTCGGGCCGGGTCCGCCCTCGGCGTGGGGGACGCGGGCGCGGGGCGCGGGCGACGCGCACTGGCCGGGCGCGCGGCTCTCTTCGCTCTCTTGCCTCGCGCGATCCGCCCGGCCTGGCCGCCTCCGGAGCCGCGTTCGCCTGCGGATGGGCTGGGGAAGTTGGCAGGAGTCACCCGGAGCCCGCGCCTGGCGCGCACCACCGCCACTCACCTCGGCGCCCGCAGCTGGGGCGCAGCGCGCCGGCCGCTGGAGTGCGGATGTCCCCCGGAGCCGCGGGCTGGCAGGTACCTACGCGTCTTCGCCAGGCGCCTGCTGGGGAGGGCGGATCGGGGGTGTTCCCCAGCGATCATCCGTTCCCATCTGCAAGGGAGCAGAGGTTCTAGGTTCCCACCCAAATCCCACCCAGGATTGGATCCTCTGAGGCGAAACGGACCCGACTTAGTAAATGGCGATCAGTTACCGGGTGGGTTTCTATGTCGGGCTGGGGAGTCCCTGCTGCCTCCAGAGGTTCCTTGGCTTGGGGTCGACATAGGCAGGCGACACCTCCACCCTTTATTGCTGCTGGGCCTGTGAGCGCCACCAGAGGGCTGGCCTTCCTGCAAAGTTGGGGGGAGGGAAGCCATCTCGGGGCCTGGAGATGCCCCCCTCCCCCCGTTCCTGTGTAGGGGAGCCTGTGGCCCACATACCCAGGAGAGTCCAGAGCTCCGAGTGCGTAACAGGGTTTGATTTTCAGCCCTGTCTGAGGCTCTCTCTTCCTTTGTGGACCGGGGTCTCTGAGGAAGGCTCGTTTTTCTTCCTTAGAGGATTTTCCTGAAGGAGTAGTGACCAGTCACAAAGAGTGGTCACTAAGAAACCTGTTCTTCACAGTGGCCAAGATGGCAGAGCATGCACTTGTCCCTGAGGAGTCAGAGACAGCGGGAAAGCCTGCCAACCCTGGGGAGCTTCAGGGTATTGCTGGTCCTCCTGGAGGCCAGGCTGGCGCTCCTTGGCTTGTCCAGAGAGCACACAGAAGCTCCCAGTGGAACCAGGGAGATAGCTCAGTAGAATAAGCGCTTGCCTGGCAAGTGCAGGGTCCTGAGTTCAATCCCCAGTACGGAAAAAAGAAAAAGAAAGAAGTGGGTGCCTAGCACCTGCCGGACTCTGCATCATGCTGGGGACAGTGTGTGTGTGGGGAGGGTTGGAGGATTTGTTTTCACTCTTGGCTCAGCCTTACAGGGGAGGACAACGCAGACACACGCACAAAGTTCTCCGATGGTGTTTCCATACCAGCAGCTAACTAGTGGGCTAACTGCCTCGTGGGTGATTTCAGGCCTGGAGAAGACTCTGGGGAAGCTGAAGTCCAGTTCTCATGCACGCCTGCATATGCACTACGGCATTCTGGCTGCAGACCCCTGGCCTCCATCGGTAGGGAGCAGTAGGAATCCTGGCCGGGGATCCTTGTGCCCATAGATGAGCCTCACCCAATTGCGCAGACTTTTGTTTTTTCTTGAGACAGGGTTTTACTCTGCAGTTCAGAGTGGTCTTGGAATCATTATGGGGCCCAGTCTAGCATCAAACTCTTGGTGAGCTTCCTGCCTCAGTCTCCCCAGTGCTGGGATATAGGCATGCACGCTCACACCTACCTTCCTCTTGCAGGCTTTTTGTTTTGGGTTCCCAAAGACTATTTGGTTTCTCTGGGCAGGCAGAGCACAAGACTCAAGGCAGTCCTGGGACTCCTGAGGTTTAGGGTCTGGGGCCAGTGTTGTGGGAAGCTCAGAGGCAAGTGGGAGGAAGCTCTTACTTCCTTTTCAGAGTCTGTGTGCATCACTGGAGGCTGGCGGCTGGCTGGTGGTGAGGTCGGGAGGCTGGGAGACACTGGGCCAGACATGGTTTCCTGTGCATGCAGACAGGCTGCGGGTTGTGATGTGCTGGGGTGGGTGGGCTGGGGTTACGGGCAGCATTGGCCTCCCCATTGTGGGTTCTGCTGGCTCTGGGGCTCTGTGCCCCTGTTGTTCCTGTGAGATTTTCAGTTTTCTGGAGCACTTGGTGAAGGTGGCAGTGTACTATGCCCATGGCCTTGGGCGATGTTCTGGGAGTGGGAGTTGCTTAGCTTACCCACAGCCCTCGGCTGGCACTGTGGTAACTTGGTGAGCACACCTACCTGCCTAAAACTGGTGGCACCCACAGACCGGCCACCCAACACAGGTGGGGGTGGGCCACGTGGGCAGTGAGCTGTGTGCATGCTCAGGGTTGTAGCTGTGTAGGCAGAGACAGAGGAACTGAACACGTGCTTATGTGAGAGCAGGCAGAAGAGCCTGTGCAGTGGGCAGCCAACCCCAGGACACGTGCAGGGACAGGCTTGTGTGGCCATGTCCACATGGATCACAAATGAGCCACAAGACACAGATACAGATAAGGCTACACCTTCGAGGGCTTTGAGTCTATCCAGCTGGGTAGTAGAAGTGTAAATAGGCAGATGTGCAGCGGGACCCGCCAGAGTACAGACAAGGATGTGAGGTGACATTTTCAGCCACAAGACAGGAGGACACACAGAAGTGACTTCAATACCGAGGTGGATATGCAGTCTGCAATGGGCTCTCAGGGGAGGCATCTGCACCTGCTGGAGGCACCTGCAAGGACTGGTCTGCCCTGGGGACTGAGCTGTAATCTAAGGCATTCAGTGTTCTGTGTGACAACATAGTGGTGGGACAGGTGCTCTGTGGTGTGGCTTTGTTTCTAGGCTCCCATTGAGAGTTTGAGGACCCCTCAGCCTCAGTGTCCTATTATTTGAGTGTTCCCCCCGCCCCCCAACCAGGAATAGAACTGAGGCCCTTGCGCTTGCCAGGGAAGCACTTATTCCACTGAGCCATCTCCCTGGCCCCAATCTGAGTGTCTTGACCTTGAGCTAGATTATAGGGCAGTTGCAGGAGCTTCTTGAAACCTTTGATTCTCATTCCTGGGGGCTCCCTGAAGTGAGGCCAGATGGCCTAGGGGTGGTACTTCAACTGTTCTTTGTCTCCTCCCCCAGCAAGGGGGGATTTTCCTCTTGATCTCAGGCCTGTGAGGCTCTGGCAGGGCTGGGGTGGCCCCTGGAGACAAGCAGATGGGTCTGTGATAGGAGCCACTGTCCCATTGTATGGGCTTGATGGAGCAGGGGTCCTGCCCTACTGGCTGTGGCCCATCTCCTCTACTCAGCCTGGAAGCTGGGAGTCAGCCCAAATGAAAAGCAGTTGAAGGCGCATAGCACCTGGCCAACGTGGCTTCTGAGCAGGAGGCTCTCCTACAGCCAGGACTCTGCAAAGCTTCAGGCAGGTGGCCCGGGTGCCTGGGCAGAGGCCTGGTGAGCTGGGCATCTCCCCCTGAAGGCTGGTGTTCGCACACCCTGGCCACCACTCCTCCTTAGCCTTGGGGGACCTCCAGGCAGGGTCAGGAAGTGGCAGGCTGGGTGTGTGGAAGCTCGGGCCTGCCGCCTGCTGGGCCTCTGGGAGGGGAGCCAGTGGTTTGCTAAGAATAGCCCCAAGTTGTGGCTCTGGTCTTCCAGCGGGCAGCCAGGCAGCTCCCATCCCAGGCCAGGGCGCTTGCAGGCAGGCTTTTTGTTTTCTGTAGCTGGTATGGGCACAGGGATGGGCCTGGGACCTGCAGGCTGTGCCCCACCTAGGATTTCTGTGCGACCTGGACACAGACAAGGCCATTGGACACTGGCCTTTGTAACCCCTGAGGGCCTCTGCTCATCTTGACAGCTGTGCCCCTGCAGTCTTCTTATCCCCAGGAGACCAGTCATGATTAAGAATTGGCTCCAAGCAGTCCTTAGAGTCTGAGTTCTTGCCTGCTGCCTCACTAGCTGAGTGGCTTTGGGCATCACACTGAGCCTCTCTGTAGCAGATGTCCCTGTGTCCAGATAGTGATAGGAGTTCCCTTGTGCAAGTCACAAGGATGAGAGGAGGGTGTGCGTGAAGAGGCCCAACATGCGCTCGTACACGTTAGGCACTGCGATTCTTGTCAGGATGGGTGTTTTCTCAGCAGAGGAGAGACCTCTGGTATCAGGATGTCATATGGGAGAGAAGGACCAGGGTGGCATATTGATTTTGGGTTTGGCATACGGTACAGCAGTGGAGTAGACCCTGCCCCAGCAGGAATTGAATGAGGCTATGTGTGTTAGGCCACTGTGCACACAGCCAACTGCTTGTGATCAGAACCACAGACG